AGAGCGCACTGGACTGGATCCCCAGCAACGTGCCGCGGAATAGCATTGGCCTAGTCATTGGTATCGAGGCGGACCCGGACAGGCCGGATTGGCAAGTCTGGTACAGCCGCCGCATTCAGTTCTGCCAGTGGACTATCCAATCGAAGCCCGGCCACCCAGTCCTGCGTGATATAGTGACCCGCATCACTGAGGAGACCTTAAAGAGGAAACGGGAGGGTGTGTTTATCACCAAGGAGAAGAGCGTCATGGAATTCACGGGTCCTGCTGTGTGGACTGATACGATCTTCGACTACTTCAACGACCCGCGCTATTTCAACATGGACAAGAGCAATAGCAATATCACCTACCTGAACTTCACGGGAATAGAAACCATAAAGAAGGTTGGCGACGTGGCTGTTCTCCCCATCACCAGTTTCTCGCCTGGTGTCCAACAGATGGGCGCAAAGGATTACGATGACCCAATGGCTTTTGTTAAGCACGATTTCCAGGGTACGTTCATCGTTCGTCACGGCATTTTCTTGTTTTGTTGACTAACAATTTTCTGCAGGGACCTGGAAACCAGAAAGTGAAAGGCATATCGGAGACAAGAGGGGGTAGTGGCTTCTTGTCGCAATATGTTATACCATTATTTGTCTTTTAACCGTCCTGAGACAGCGCCGCCTATATAAGCAGGCAGCTCACGGGCATGGAATACCCCATCCCTTGGCCTAGAGCATTCTTCCCATCTATCTATCTTTGCAGCCATCCCTAGAATGCATTGATTGCGTTCGTCTCACACATTACGTGGCTTGCCTCAAGCCGTTTCAAACAATGGATCCTACAAGAATGGGTATAGACATAGGCATAGGCATAGGCACAGGGAAAAGTCCTAACGGTGCCTATGAGCCAAATCGAGTGTCGAGATGGGCCCCCTCTTCCAAATACCGCACTTTTTATTTTCCCTGTTCGCAATGTCGCGAATTGCCTGATCACTTGGGCTTTGCTTTGAAACCACGGAGTCAGGCTACAACCGGGAACTTATGCAGAGTCTGCTTGTTACACATGGAAGAATTCACGGTTTTTGGAACATTATAGGGGCAATAAATAGAAAACCGGCTCGGAAAACACCAAAGGATGGACGGGCTCGGCTGCCCTGGCGGCGAGATACTGCTTCGGTAGTCTTTATTGTATATACTTACGATGCATGCATAACTTACATACAGTGGCGTCAGGTGGTAATGATGATTTCCAGCTCACCATGGCTATTGAACAGACCCTTATATATCTGTGTACCATGTGGGTTTTCTCGATAAAGATGCACAAACCTTGAATTCAAGGTTGCGGTGGATTAACGGAGATCTCGGAACAAATATTTGTAACGTTAATAGCAAACGGGTGGGTAAGAGGGGAACTCCTGTCATCCCCAAGCCCCCATTTCCCTTTTATACTGACAGCTACTTGATGTTTAAGAAGCGGAATAATAAATATACTCGTGAAAACAAGTAGGTACCTGATGTCTTTTCAACACTCGCACGCTTCGTGCGTTGTCTGTTGTCTTAAAGCTGGGTAGGTAGTTGGGTAGCCGACCGGCCGGCCGGCCTTCCCCGCTTCCCCGCATTACCTATAGGGTACCACCGGGGGCCAACCCCCAGATATTACCCCACCTACCCCCGCCCCCCTATAAAGAAGGCTGGAGTATGTGCTTAGGCATTTAAGGACATGCAGTCTAAGAGCCTACAACCCCGAGCTAGGCAGTTGGAGGTTGGAGATGTTCGGGGTGGACGACGCCTTTCGTTGAGGTCATTGTTCACGATATATCGGTATGCTAGGTATATATCTGACATGCCGCCTGCAGGAAAGAAGACACCCCTACCCTTTTACAGAGGCGGGATTTGGCTGTGATCACACATTCCCCTTCCTACCTGCAGGGTATCCAGAAAGTTATATTCGAGTATTACTCGGGTATACGTATACGAGTATTACTCGGGTATACGTATACTCGAGTATTTATCTTGAATGCCCTGCCTACCTGGGGACTTTGCTCTCACACGAAGCTAGGTGAAAATCATATACATATATATAGCTTGTGTTCGTGCGTGCATGCGTGTATGTGTTCCAAGAAAGACTCGTGTGAGAAGAAATCAAACCCGTGGAAGCGGGAATCATGGTGCCGCCCCAACTCCGCATTCTGTGGCGGGTGCGGCCCGGCGGCCACCTCGGGGGGACGTCCCGGGCCTCCTCTTCCTTTTTCCGGCCTGTACCGATAGCAGCCCGGTTCGGACCTCCGCCCCGGGTCGCTTCGACCATCACTCGGCAACGGCAACTTGCGGCGAAGACAGGGATACTATTACCACAGCAGAGAAGAGGAATTGCAACTTCTTCTTCTCCGGATCTCAGCTATGTCGAGGGCCCCGCGGAGCCGCCCCTGCTCCAGCAGACGATACCGGAGCACTTCGCCTCGATCGTGGCGCAGCACGGCGACCGGCCGGCCGTGATCGCGCGGTCGCCGACGCCGATCCGCGCCTCGCTGACGTCGCCCGCCGTGCCGCCCACGACGACGCTGACGTACGCGGCGCTGGACGGGCTGTCGAACGCGCTGGCGCGGGCGCTGCGCGGCGGCCGCCTCGGCGTGCGCAAGGGCGACCGCGTGGCCGCCAGCCTGGCCAACGTCGCCGAGCACGCCGTGCTGGCCTACGCCGTCTTCAAGCTCGGCGCCGTCCTCGTGCCGCTGAACCCGGGCTTCACCGCCCCGCAGCTCGCCGCCGCCCTGCGCCACCTCCAGGCCCGCGTCCTCGTCGTCCCCGCCGTCGCCGACGCCGCCTACAGACCAGGCCGCGGCCGCAGCAACCTGCCGCTGCTGGAGGCGCTGATCCCGGGCCTGGGGCGGGAGACTACCGACGGGGCGGGCGCGCCGACGGTCGAGGCGCCGAGCGTGCCGTCGCTGAGGTCCGTCGTCGTGCTGGATAATCGCGCCGACCACCCGGACGCGGTGTTCCCCCTGGAGAACCTCCGCGCACTAATCCCCTTCCAGCAGCTCCTCCCCTCCTCCCTCTACCCCTCCTCCTCCTCTCCCACCACCCCCACCCCCTCCCACCCCTCCACGGCGCCCATCACGCCCGACGCGCCGCTCTCGGCCTCGGAGACGATCAACATCCAGTTCACGTCGGGGACGACATCGCGGCCGAAGGCGGCGATGCTGACGCACGCGGGGATCCTGAACAACGGGCGGCTGATCGCGCAGCGCATGGGTCTGGTAGCAGCCGACCGCGTCGTCTGCCCGCCCCCGCTCTTCCACTGCTTCGGCAGCGTCCTGGGCTTCATGGCCACGGCGACCACGGGCGCGGCCCTGCTGCTGCCCAGCCCGGCCTTCGACCCCGCCGCCACCCTGCGCATGGCCGCCGAGCACCGCGCCACCGCCCTCTACGGCGTCGCCACCATGTTCGTCGCCGAGCTGGACCTGCTGCTCGCCTCTTCCTCGGACGGCGACACTACCGCCACGTTCCGGGGCATTCTCGAGCAGATCTACCGTTCTCCCTCTAGTTCTGGTTGCAACAACGACGACCAAGCGGTGGGACTCGCGAGCCACCTCCGCAAGGGCATCGCGGCGGGGTCCTCGGTCCCCGAGGCCCTGATGCGCCGCCTCTTCGACACGCTCGGCCTGCGCGACCTCGTCATCTGCTACGGCATGACGGAGACGAGCCCCGTGAGCGCCATGACGGCGCCGGCCGACCCCTTCGAGAAGCGCACCGGCACCGTCGGGCGCGCCATGCCGCACACAGCACTGAAGATCGTCGCGCCCCCTGACGACGACGGCGACGGCCGAGGTCGGCGCACCGTCGTGCCGCGCGGCGAGCGCGGCGAGCTCGCCGTCAGCGGCTACCTCGTCATGCGGGGCTACTGGGGGGACGAGGCGCAGACGAGGGAGGTGCTGGTCCCGGATGAGGACGCCGACGGGCAGAGCAGGGTCTGGATGTATACGGGCGACGAGGCGTGCATGGACGCCGAGGGCTACGTGGCGATCACGGGGCGCATCAAGGACCTGATCATCCGCGGGGGCGAGAACGTCCACCCGCTCGAGATCGAGAACTGCCTGCTGCAGCACCCGCTCGTGCAGGACGCCAGCGTCGTCGGCGTGCCCGACGCCCGGTACGGCGAGGTCGTCGGCGCCTTCGTCGTGCCGGCCCACGGCGCCGTCGTCGTCCGCGACGACGGCAGCCTGAGGAAGGACGGCAAGGATGACGTTAGTGGCGATGATGGTAGTACGAAGGTCTTGTCCAAGGCCGCGCTGCGGGACTGGGTCGGCGGACACCTGTCGGGCCACCTCGTGCCGAAGTACGTCTTCTGGCTCGACGAGTACCCCAAGACGGCGAGCGGCAAGATCCAGAAGTTCAAGCTGAGGGAGATGGCGAAGGAACTCGTCGCTGGACCAACGAGGACGGGCGGGGCGGTGCCCTGATGAAAAAAGATCAAAAAAAGAAGAAGAAAAAAAACTACCGTTGCATCATCCTCATCGTCAGGGGAGGGAGTGCATCTATCTATACTCATTGCCTGTATTTTCTCAGGGCTTGTGGTTCTCTCGTCAAGGCGCTACTCACCCAGGGCCTAGTTGGATTCTGGGAATCCCTAGATCCACTCGAAGTAATGTAGCCATCATATAGAAAGGGATGGAGTCCAGCTAGCAACCCGTGAGCTGTGAGCTGTGGTTAGTATTTTGTGTTTTAGCATGACCATTGCAACACTTTACGCAACATCGACTTTTCACCCGGAAGTATACATTGTTGCGTACATTGCAAGAGTTTATCAAATCATGATAATCTCCAAATCGAGTGTGATTCATTCAATCTGAGCCCGCGTACTCACGATATTAACTAATTACCTAAGTCCAGGTTTTCTAGTGTTGTCGCTTGTGCTTAACTGACGCTATCGTTAAAATTTTTCCCCAATCCACCCGCCATTGATAAATGCTGTTATCACAGTGAATCTAATATTCAACTTGGCTAGCTCTTCACGTTTAGCCTCAAGCATCAGTGGTTTAGTGGTAAAATCCATCGTTGCCATTCTGTAGGGTCTCCTACAGCAGAGTCGATGGGCCCCGCGTTCGATTCGCGGCTGATGCATTTTTTTATCTTTTCTTTTTGTGGTCTCCGCCCCCTTTTCATATTGCCTGTTCCCTTGTCGAGGGCACGAAGTACTCCAATAACGCTTTGCCCTTTCGGGATCCACCTTCGAGGTGTCAAAATAAATAGAGCCTGTTCTGGCTACTATGTATAGGAACAAAGTCTACAAGGCCGGCAGAAAACCCAGCGCCGACGCTTGATCGCTCCTGTGTAAACCGTAGTAGTTTGTGCCGAGCTTGGTGATACTGTACAGAACAGGCTTTGCTGTGAGCAGTAACACTATAGTGAACGATGCTTAATCAATTGATCGGACGCGCGGCGGGGAGGTTGTTGTCCCTCGCGTCCCTTTGGAGAACGATGACGAACTGATAGTATGAGTTGTCCAGCTGGGCGCCGTTGACTAAATTCGTAGTTACGAGTAAGTTTCCTATGAATCCATGCACACAGGATGTCAGAGTCTCGGGCTTTCAGGTTGCTAGATCAAGGCATTTTGGTCCAGTTCATCCGAATCCGCGCCTTCTTCCCTGATATCCGCTCCAGTAGTCACCTCAAGAGTCCCGGCTAAGAATAACCACATGGCATGGGAGCCTTGGGAAGTGCTTACGCATAGGTGCCATCATTAGACTGAAGTGGTCTACTCAGTGGGAACCAGCAAACCCGAAGCCGTCTTGCTGATGAGGCAGTATAGCGGTAATCCCAAGAACATGTTGGCAATTGCCCATAGTCGGGATTTCCATAGGTCAGGAGGCAACCAGGTGATCACCAGGGAAGCCGACGATCGACGCTATTGAAAACAAGTGTCCTTGCTTCGCACACATATGTCATCACGATGTGCTGGCGCACTGCCTACTCACACAACACATACCTGCCTACCTGTGTGCCACGAGCCCACGATGACACGAATCGTCAGCCCGGCTGGGCTGAGCATTTTGCTGCCTCGTGAATGGGCTTTGGAAATAGAGTTGGAAATGCCCCGTGGATCTTGTAAGCTGTGTCAGTACGGCCGGGTAAGATCCCTATTGGCCTACAGCATCGCCTGAATCTCCGAGCTTACGCAGGCGAGACCGGACTGTCAGGTATGTGGTACGTGGTATGTGGTGGTGTAACTGTTATGCTGGTAGGGTGCGGAACCCGCAAGGCAAAAACAAAGCAAAGCAAAGCAAAGCACGCGGTAGACGTAGAATGAAGGTCGACCATGCCGCCAACAGGTGGTGTTGAATGGATCATGCTTAATGTTTCGTAGACATGCCCGAGAGTCCGGGACACAGAAACGATAGTTAAGCGAATCCTCAGCCTCCGGTAGTTGCGTTGGTGGCGTTGGTGCTGATACAACCTCAATGCAGCTGCTTCAATGCAACCTTGAAGTCGTAAGATATTGAACTATGTCTGCCCCACAAGGCGGGCAGCGGTGCGGCAGGCAATGGCGGGCAATGGCGGGCAATCGGGAGATACGGGCGATGAATGGTTCGTACGTATCGTATGGGTGCAGGGTAAGTAAGTAGGTATGTATGTGATGTATGTGTATGTATGTAGTTACGTTGTATGCATGCAGTTACGTTCCAAGGTTGTATGCACGCAGTTACGTAGGCCTGGCCGTCGATCATCTCGGAAACCTTGCAACTTGCAACCTTGAGTCTTGCCAGTCGTGCCAGATCAAGGTGCAAAGTCCCAACTGCGCGAGGGAGGCGAGGCGGTGTCGAGGGGCTTCGAGGGGTGTTGAGGAGAAAAAAGAGAAGAAAGACAGCCACGGGATTCCCGGGGTTTCTTCTCCTCACTGCAATTCCCCCCCAATTGGGAACCCGCACGCGGCATGATTGGCCGTCGGGGATGGTCATAGGCCCCGTCCCAGCCGTCGGGATGGGGCACGGCAGCAACGCTACAGCATCGGGCATTCCTCCAAAGCGCACTGCATGTCGTATTCTCGAAATAGCGTAGCTGAATACATAGTCGAGTAGTCTAGTAAGTAAGCAGACGCAGAGCGAAGCAAGGAGGGCCCCGGAGCCGACGCTGGTTTCCACTGCTGCTACTGCCAGCATTCGGGGTAGCCGGAGACAGACAACTACTACGTATGGGGGTGCATAGCTAGACTGCCAGAGAGAGGTAAGGGAGGTTGGTATAATAAGAGGCGAAGCTCATCAGGTAGTCTCGTTCAAACTCTCTCCATCATCAACCACAACCCTCAACCCTCAACCCTCAACCCTCAACCCTCAACCCTTAACCAAAGACCAATCACGAGTTTAACTCCATTCAAGAATACCTAAACCTCAAACTTCACACCAAACAAACATAACCTATCCAAACCTCCACCTACCACTTTGCAATAATACCACCCACCCAACCCCCCCAAAAATGCAGTTCCCCGCCCTCCTCGCCGCCGCCTCGGCCCTCGCCGCCGCCTCCGGCGCTAGCGCCGCCGCCATACAGCGCGACGGGCCCCGGCTGGCGCAGTTCCGGATCTTCACCGCGATCGGCTGCTACGAGGGGAACCAGGGCTTCTACACCGTCGACCGGTCCGACACCGACGCGTGCCACAGCCTCGCTAACACCGCGCCGGGCGGCGGCGTCCAGTCCGTGAACCTGGAGACCTGGAACCTCCCGGCCGCCGAAGGCTGCAGCTGTAAGTTTTTGTGGAGAGAAGGACGAGGGAGGAGGGGATGATGTGAATATAATGTTGACTAACACCCGATGTGCAGTCTATATCTACACCGACGCTTCCTGCACGGAGGGCCAGCGCGAAGCCACTCTGAACGTCTGCAACGGCCCGCCGACGGAGGGCGACGCCTGGAACTCCTGGCAGGTCTCCTGCCCTGCTGGTCAGGCTTGAATCCTCTGTTAGTTGGGGTTTGGCATGATGGGATGGGAGGCATTGGATTGGATAACTGGTCTCGGGGTGGGCTCGGATGGGATTTAATGGTATGGTATTCGGAACTATAATAAGTATTGCATTGGCAAAAGCATGAGGACACGCAAGGATTAGCATCGGTCGACTGGAGGGAGGTTACCAGCATTGGTTATGGCGCATATGATTATAACTCGGCAGTTCATTACATTCCTTTTAACTTAAAAATACAGACTAATACACACATGATATCTCATCGAGGATACCCCTTTTCGTCCAAAGGTAGTGCTCTCAAATGGACAGACTGCCATTCATTCATAATTGCTCTCTGGCATCCCCTATGTGATATCAATTGGTATTTTTGTAAGCCATAGTTGCAAGCATGTTTCATGTTTTTTTATCAACCAATCAAAACGCGAGTGCGCCCTGCCAAAAGCGCGATTTGCTAACACAGTAGCTGTTATAAAGGGGTAAGGGTTATAAAGCACTTCGATCTTGGGAGGCCTGCCTACTTGATCACCCAAATAGGTAGACCGGCGATATATCTAATGAATGGATAGGGTTACATGCCACATTTCCGATCTAGTCGGAGTCAGAGTCACCTTCCAAATCGGACTCCGAGATGAAGCTGTAGACGCTCTCGGCATCGTCCAAGTCCTCGAACTCGCTGCTCTCTCCGCTCAGGGAGTCGGCGTCGCAGTCGTATTCCTCGACTTCGACGAAGGAGGATGAAGATGAGGTTGAGGTGGAGCTAGCAGTGTCATCGGCATCATCATCGTCGTCGTCGTCGTCGTCGCTGAGCTCGCTCTCGACCATACGCTCGGATTCGCAATCCGCTTCTGCCGTGCAGGAAGCCTTTTGCTGTTGCTGTTGTTCAGTATTATGCAATTCGAGCTCAGAATCAGCGGAAGAAAAAGAAGAAGAAAGGGGGTACGCCTCTGAACTTACGACAGACTCTTCCTCGTCTTCTCCCGTTTCGCAGTCCTCGAAGATTTCTTCCTCCTCCTCCTCCTCCTCCTCCTCCTCCTCCTCCTCCTCCTCCTCCTCCTCCTCCTTCTTTCCGCCGTCGTCATCGTCACACTCCACGCCGCCTTCCAGGGATCTTCTGCCCATCATCATCATCCCCTGCAGCTGGGGCCGGGGCCGCCAGAGCTGGCTCTGGCTGTTGCCAACCAGGAAAGAAGTGCCGGAGGGCCGGGCGTACTGGATCTCCGTGGCCCGTTTCTGGCTGGCGAGCTGGGCCTCGAGCGCGATGCGCAGGCTCGTCTGGCTCTGCAGCGCGCTCTCGAGCCGCGCCGCGCGCTCCCGCTCCCGCGCCAGCGCCTGCGCGCTCTCGCTTACCATCGCCCGCAGCTCTGCGGCCTGCTGCTGCTTCTGCTTCCGCTTCCGCACCCCGTCGCTGCCTCCTCGCACACGGCTGCCGCTGGTACCCCGGTCCCGGTCCCGTAGCTTTTCAACACCCCGCTGTTGCTGCTGCTGCTGTTGCTGTCGCAGTGCCGTCTGGAGCTCGACTCGGAGCGCCGTTACCTCGCGCGTTCGCTCCTGGAGGAGGATCACCGCCTCTCGTCGGGACAGCATGCCTTCCCGCAGCATCTGGGCCGTGGACTCGTCTTCGGTCATCTGTGTCGTCGCCGTCTTCTTTGTTGTTGTTGCTGCTGCCGTTTCCTCAGACTGCGGCTGCTCTTGGGACTGCTGCTGCTGGACTCGCTCGTCCTTCATCACGTGTTCCCTCAAGGCCGCGTTCAAGATGCGCATCGAGGTGGTGAAATTATGTGCGGCGGAGGCGGAGGCGGTGGCGGCGGCGGCTGCTGCGTCGCCATCGCCACCGTGATAAGCAACCTGGTACGCCACCGCCGGGACAGTCCCATAATCCCGACCTCCCGCCCGCGCTTGCTGCACCCGCGCCTCCCTCCTCAGGGCGTCGATCTCGGCCCTCGCGCGCTCGACCTGGCCGGCGACGGCGCGGAGCCGCCGCAGCTCGGCGTCCTGGCGGCCCAGCCGCTCGGCCTGGTCGGCGGCCCGCCCGCGCAGCGCCGCCGCGTGCACCTGCTGGTAGGCGGTGGCGCGGCGGCGGTCGGCCTCGCCGGCCTGCTGCGCGGCGTGGCGCGCCCGCCACTCCCACGCTGACACGGCCGCTAGGGCCGCGTCGTGCAGCAGCTCG